AACAACAAAATTTTATAAACGAAAACCTCTAGCCGAGCATTGGCTATTATATTATTTCCCTGTCAAAGTTCTCATTTTCATTAAAAGTCGTAAGATGACAAAAACAAGATCTTGAAGAATCCCTCTATATAATACTAGAACTCTGAGATTGTTTGTTTGTTTGTTTGCTTATTTTCTCAGTCAAAAAATAATTCACACTACCGTACTCGCTCTTTACGAAACTTCTTACTTCACTTTTTTGAAAAATGAAATCGTCTTTACTTTTACTCCCGATCAACAATCAAATATCTTTTCTTGAATTATGAATAACACGAATGGATTGAAATATTTAATTAAATTATCTCAAAATAAACCTTCATTTCGGTGCAATATTGAAATTAGCTTGAATTCTTCATAATCTCTGAATAGTGGTTGACCCAACGGGTTTACGGTGGTCTAGTGTCTTAATAAAACAGTTAAAGGTAATGCAATTGTAATCATAAATAGATCAAAATACAATGCACTTATGTTTATGATGTTTGATATTCTAAATACGGGAAAAAATTTACATAATTACCAAAAAACATGAACAAGACATATGAATACAAGTTAAATAATTTCTTTTGAAACTGTCCATAGAAAATAAAATTTCGAAATAAATTATAATAGCACTCAAAAACACAGATACTAAAAACACCAGAAATATATGACAATTTACAAATACCTAAAAATACGATAAACATAAAACCAATCGTTTTTACATATGCATTATTTAAATAAATCCTAGGCGAATAACTCTTATGGCCGTTGTCGATATGATAAATATATCAGAAACAACAGTGAGAGGTATCAACTAAATCATCAAAATACTACAAGAAAACAACATTAAAAATCAACTATATATATAGTTTAAATGAAAAATGTTCAGGATTTCCACAAATACCGACCTCTGAAGTAATTAAATAGCAATATAAAAATTAAGTTAAAACCTGAATTAAACAGACATACAAACCTTCTTTAATTTGTAGTAATATAATGCTTTGAATTCTAAGAACAATTTATATAGCCCCCAGTGATACAGCGGTATGTCTGCGGACTTACAACGCTAGAAACCGAGTTTCGATATCCGTGGTGGGCAGAGCACAGATCGCTCATTGTGTAGCTTTGTGCTTAAATTCAAACAAACAAACAATTTATATAAGAAGGCATTATTATGGGAAGCCCTCTATCGTTCACTCTAACAAACTTACTCATGATCTATATAGAAAGAAAAGCAAAAGAACAACAAAAAACAAACAATATCGCCTCCCCTGTATCCAAATGGGGAAAATACGTTGGTGATGTATCATATAGTTTTCATAACCAAGACGAACAGAATTATTTGCTTAATTGAACACATTAACTAAATCTATCCTATATAAAATTCACAATTGAAGAGGAAAACGAAGCAACAGTAACTAATCCTTCCTCAGGTTAAGTATCACGCGACTTCACAACACATACACTCAACATACAAAAAAAAAAAAAAAGGGATAAGGCGTATAACGGAACCTACATCAACTGGAAATCAACACACGAAATTAATCAAAAAATAAATTCATTAAAAGGCTTATACAGCATTGTTTTCTACCTTTGTTCATCTAAAGAAATAGGAACACGAACTAAATTGAATTTAAACTTGCTTTCAAAGTTTAAATGCTTCCAGAAAAAGTCATTGATGTATCATTGAACGAAGGAATGCAAATACAACATTCACCGGTAACCTAAAAATACCCTAGATTAAAAATTAAAAAAGAAGTAAATCATAGGAATTACCCCATGTATAGTTAAGAAAGGAAAGAGCTGATAAGAATGTGGAAAAAACTAAAAACATATAAAACATACCTATTGAAACAAAATTCATATAAAAAACTGGACAACAAATAAGAGGTTTACTAAACAAACCTTACAATAAAGAAGACTACCTAAATGGATGTATCTATCAAATTAATTCTGAAAATTGTGAATCTATATAAATCGTTGGAACAAGTAGAAACCTAAAAAAAATATAATGAATACTTAAGAGGAATTTCAAATGAACATATAAAGAAATCTTCATCTTAAAATAAATTAGGAAAACATAAGGATATTGGATCAAGAACAAGAAAAATACAAAATAAATGGATGAAACATTATTAATAAAAATTATACAGCCTTAAGATAAATAATTATAAAAAATGCCCCCTTTATATTTATTGAACACCCACATGACTATTTTTTAACAATTTAATAGCCTTTTTAATAGTCTTTTCTTTGGGGGGGGGATTATTCCAGTCTCCCACCACGCCTAAATCTCTGGCTTTTGATTTATAGATTTCTGCTACCATGATTAAGGGTCGTTTATTTGTTTGTTGGTTATCAAATGGTTAATTTGTCCAGTTATTCGTTGCCTCCTAGTCTCCTCCTGCTCAATCGGACAGGGCTTATAAAGTTTATTATTAACATTAATATTACAATTATTATTATTATCGTTATTGTATTTTTATGTTATGTTGATCTTTCCCTCTGTCAATTTAAAAACGTGAAGCGAGTATGAAGGAGAACTGTCTCGAGCGCCTTGGGCATTCCACCAAAATACTTGCCTCAACTGAAATGAATAGACGCTGTTTCTTCTTGTGTGTTAACAGTTATAGGCTTACTTTTTGTTGTATGTGATTTCTACTTTACTTTTAAATTAAGCTTAAGTTTTCTTATTTCTTGCTTTTCTTAATAATTTTACTTTAAGTTCTGCTTTCAGGTTCCAACTTGGGCACTGTGCGGATAGCTTTTTCGGCTCACTCCCAGTTAGAGTGGGGTTTTTCCGGGAGACTCCCGTTTCCCACCCATTAGAAATTACATGCCACTGTATTCTTTATTTCCGCTGCCAACAGTCGAACAACATGCAACACATTTACCGCTGACGTTATTTTTCGCCTGCCTTCTTTGCACGTACATATACTGTTAAATAGGTGTATATGTAGATATAAACACTTGTTACTATCTGCTTGATTGATAATTTCCCGTAAAAATGCTCTCCGAGAAACTTCAGCGATACAAGTCCTTTCTTAATTAAAACTAATTTATTCTTTCTCGTTACAAACTTTGTAATACACTTAATTTCCACAGTCACTTTAAACTTAACTACTTTTATAAACACATGCTATAATTCACAGCGATTCACACACTTTACTTACGGTGCCTACTGCTCGCTTGACTCGATTATCTGTCTCTCTAATCTATCTCTCTATCTATCTAATTCTGCTTTATTTGCCGGGCTTATATACTAAAAAAAAAAGAGGGCGTCTAGCAAACGCTGGGACGTTCGTGAGGTTGCCCGCTAAGTCACAATCCTTCTAGAAACTCCAGCGCACATGCTCCCAGCGTCGCGTGACTTCCGCTGTCGTAACACACTTTTTCTTCTTTATTTTTCCGCACATTGTAAGATCCTTATACCATGAGCGTAACGAAGAGAAATTGCTTAATTTCCGAATACCTTGTGTATTAAACCCAAAATCCCTACAAAGGTTTTCTTTCTAATTTACCAGCTGAGAAAGCTTCGCTGAAGAAATAAAACGTCATTGTGTGGGCTTTCTTTTCAGTTACTCGAGAGAAGCTAGAGCTTCTTAGACATTTAGAGAAATATTCTGATTTCCTCTCGAAATACATTCATACAGTAGATAGGTTCCATGGTTGAATCCTTCTACAGAAAAGTTTAAAAATTTTGTGAATACTAAATATGTACTTTAGGCGCCTGAAATACGTGATGTTTGAATGTTATGTTTATAATACTATAGGAACAAAATCCAAAATTGCTTTTATAAAGTATTATATTAACTTAAAACATAAATCAATAAACTTATGACCTGATTCTAAAACGGTTATAAATACACACATCTATGTTCAGTTGTCTATAAGAACAGTTACAGAAAAGGAAAATTTCTGATGGCTAATAAATCTTTCTTCAAATAACTCTTCTAAAGCCTTTCATGAACTGGTACATTAAATTTTTTCACAATAGTATCGAGAATGGAGGTCTCTGATGCTAGTTCTTGTTAAAAAATCAGATTTTCTCTTATTTCATAAACCTGCATTTTAATAGCTAGATAGTAGCTCCTATTCAGTTACTACGCCCATTTAGAGAGTTCCAATAGTCTATTATGAATGTATTTAACTGAAAACGAAAAATATTCTGATATTATTTTTTACCAAAAAATTCTGAATATTGTGTCAGCGATTCACGAAATGCATTATATGTATAAATTATCATTTTAAACTGAATTCATATTTATAGCTCTTATAAGAAAAATTGTGTTCTTTAGGTATTAATATACATTTATTTAACATGAAAAGAGAAATAACTGGTTTAAAAATTATTGTATTTTGAGCGATTTTCGTTAGGCTTATGGCCTTGAAACAAGGTGGACGCCGAAACATTTACCAATAAATTTGCTTTTGTGTCATTGTAAAAGTGTCATTAAACTATAGCACAAAGTCAAGGAAACGGGATAATAGTTAAAATAATAAAGATAAAAGGACAGAAAAAAATCGCTTAAAGGAAATGTAGAATGTTCTGAGATCTAGTAGATTGAGAAAAAATAACACAAACTCGTCTTTTCCATAGGGTCAGATTATCTGTCAACTATTGAAAAACATCTTCCAGCATGTGAGAGGAATGTTGTAAGATTCTGCGTTACTTCCTTGGTTGCTTATAAAAAATGTAAAGATTTCGAAAAAGTAGCTTATGCTTGGAGACTGAGACCAGAAATAAGGTGTATCAACAATATGTCTGAGTTAGAGTGCATAGCAAATGTAAAATCAAACAATGCTGACGTAGTGATTTTGGAAAGTGGTAATGTTTACCACGCAGGCAGGTAAGTTACTAAATATTACTTAAAGATCATTACTTGATCAACATTTAGGTGCAAATAGCAAATATAAACATCATAATAAAACATGTATGTATTTTGTCCTAATATAAAAGACTGTTTAGTATAGATATATTTGATTAATATATTTTGTGCGTTAATGTTTATACAGTAAGTGCACAATCTAGTGTATAAACAACAATTACTATCTATTGTTGAATACTTTAACGTCTCGATAAGAAATGTGCATCATGATGAACTATAATAAGATATATTCGATACATTAGCCAAAAATCAAACAAATGTCATAAAGTCTTATCGTTTTTATTTACCCAATAGTACTTTCTGTTGTGAAAAAATAAATAATTAAAATAAACACCCATATAAGTTGATGGATAACCTAAGAACAACTGTTGCAACGAGTTCTTTCGTTGGGAGGGTTCTTGTGGATTATCTGGTAAAAATAAAGACGCAGAAGTCTGTCACCTTCTTGAGAGCACACAAATATAAAATTTCAGAATTGAGAATCATTGCAACAGCGGTGATAGCTGATGAAAAATCAATTCCTACGATGCTGTTAATATAGGTATGGCAATTCACAACAAAATTACTGGGAAAACAGTGGGAAATCTCGTTCTTAAGAGAAATGGTCAAGCTACAACATTTGCTGTCGTGAAAAACTATTAGAGTGTTTGTGGAAGATTTAAAAATGTCTTATGTTGAACTTTACCAAAGACTCCTTTCAGTGGCATGTAAAAATGGTCTACCAGATCCATCTGTATTATCATATGAAGTTTCAACTGTTCATGCATTCTTTTCTCAAGATGATGGTTTCATGAGAAAAACACAGAAATCCCAGCTGGCTACATATATAACCAAGATGGGATCTGGAATTTTATCATCCAATCAAGAATAGTCTATGACAGTGGTCTTTATGGCTATGCTCTTTTGCATTGCGTCTCATGGCCAAATACTGATACAACATTTTGCATCTCTTATGTAAATTTTGTAGTTCATCAGCATATTACTGGGCTTCCATTATGTGCTGTTTTTGACAGCTACATGACAAAAACTACCAAAGAACCAGAACAAAAAGGAAGAAAGTCAAGAAAGGTTATTTTCCCAACACTGTTGTGAGCAACCAAATGCCACTTCTAGGCAACAAAGAAGCATTTTTGTCGAATGTGCGAAACAAGCAAGTCTTGATAGATTTGCTTTCTAATCATCTTTAAGAAGTTGGTATTGGTGTGAGACACGCTGGCGATCAATGGTGATGTCGAGATTATTATTGTCAGAACAGCCCTTGAATATGAATTGTCTCACAAAGCAGTGCTTGTCATTGCTGATGATACAGACACATTTATTCTCCTGCTTTACCATGCGAAGTATTCGTTACACGCTTTTATGGAAACCAAGCATAGCACCTTGTCTGTCCAAGCAGCAAAAAAAAAAGTCCTTAGTCAAGAACTTTGTCTCTCTGTCTCTTAGTTGCTCACGCCACATCTAGATGTAACACTACGTCTGCGATATTTGATGTTGGAAAAATCAGAGCCATGACATATTTTTGGGGAGAGCTTCATGAAGTCTATATGCTGAAGGAGATGCCGTTCCTTTCCTCGATGATCTTTGATACGCTTTTGTTGCTTTCGTGGAGTGTATGCCGCCCACAATCTGAGCTTGTTACTTTCATTTCCTGCGAGTTCATTTGTAACTTAGCACTTGACTTCAGTTACCATAAGTATGGATTCAAGGAGAATAATGACATTATGACCCCTGTTGTCACGGGTCAAGCAGCAGCACTCCCTCATCTTCTCTAATCTGTACTGTATGTCTGTAAGAGTGGCAACCATCTATACAGAGGGGGTGGTTATCAAAAAAAGGACTCCCATGCAGCATTCACTTCAAGTGTGGTGTGAAATGTGAAAACAAACATAACAATGCTGTAGCAATAGAGGAATTGTGAAGCGCCTATAACTTTTAAAAAATTACAAAAGTAAAATTATGTGATGTATTTAAATAACCTAATAACTATTGCTGCTGTATGACTGAATGTTAAAACACAGCAGATAGGTTTTAATAGAAAATGGATGAAATAAAAGTTCTTGTTCAATTGTACATGTTTTTTGGCTAACATATTCTTTATATAAAATAACATTCACAACATTAAAAAACAAAACAAATCCCATTTCCCCAGGTTGGTTTTGGTTGAGTTTTTTGTGAATTGCTACTACACTCATAGAAAGCTTTTGGCACCAAAATGTGACTGTTATTGCTGGTTCATGTCAATTTTTACTGGCCTACTGGTATACATTTATGTAAAAATCGTACGCAATTGGTGTTACGTTCTGATAAATGGCTGGTTTTATTAAGTAATTGAATCACAATATTTATTGAAGAACATTGCCTTTATAAATAATGAACGTTAAAGTTTTTATGCCTAGGTACTATAACTTCCAACCAATAGTTGGAGAAAGATACAATGGAAGTGATATCTCATCTTGGGCTGTAGCAGTAGTAAGAAGAGAATCAAACATTAAGAGACTGAGGGAATTAAAAGGTTTGTTGTTTGTTGAATTTCTCGCAAACCTACTAGAGAGCTATCTGTGTTAGCAGTTCCTAATTTTGAAGTGACTGACTAAAGGCAAGGCATTTAGTCAATTGCCACCCACCTCCAATTCCTGAGCTACTCTAATCGAATAGTGGGATTTGACCGTCACTCTTATAACGTACCCTGACCTGAGTTAAAGATATATGCATGCAAGATATGTACATTTATCATTTTATTCGGTACAATAAAACACTTTTTCTCCCTATGTTGAAAAAAAGAGAGTAAACATATCTATCTATCTGGTATCGTCTTCAAGTTAACAAGTAAGTAATAAGACAAACTTAATATTAAAAAAACAAATCGTTAGTGAATGCATATGACCAACATCTTTTCGAAAATAATATTATATCACTTGTCATTAAAACAAATGCGATGACATACAACATAATATATAAAATTAGAACAGTTGAGAAAATGTTTTTAATAAACACTTTTCAAATATTGTATACTTTTCAAGACAGGTTGATTACGAAGAGAAAAGTGGAAAGATTGTTGGCCTGTAAAGTAGCATGCCGGGTTGTAGCCAACATTGGATGGCAGTCCTTTTAAATTCTTTGTATAATTTATTGTTTAAAAAATGTTTTTATCATACATGTTTTGGTCACAAAAAATAGTATCGATAATGTAATAGATACTTACCTTTTATACTGTATTTGGGGAAAAACACGAAAATCTTTCACATCCTTGTTACGGCACTGCCTATGTCTACATAACCGGTGATATGTTTTGCCATATTTCATATCTTTGAGAACGTGTATTTCTATTTTATCCTTATTTGTTTTGAAGAAATTGTATATTTATTTCCTTTTCCTGTGATAATCACGTGTTGGTAAATTTTTTTCTCAATTACAGGAAGACGGTCATGCCACAACAGAATAATGGACACATCTGGATGGATTGCTCCAATATCTCGATTGATGGACGCTGGGCTCGTGGTTTCAGAAACCTGCGATATTCCTTCAGCCGTAGCCAATTTTTTTTCGAGTAGCTGTGTTCCAGGCATAGCCGACCCGACTTTAAATGTCAGCATAACTAATATAGATAAATTTTGTCGCCTGTGTGTAGGCAGTGACAATGGAAGCCATGTCTGCTCACCAAACAAGAAAGAACTTTACTACGGTAACGAAGGTGCTTTCAAGTGTTTGGCAGACAGAAAAGGTGATGTTGCTTTCTTAGATTGTAATTTGTTTGATAATTTCTCGAAAGATGATGTCAACAATATATGGACTAATCAGCTGCAAGAAGATTTCCGACTTCTCTGTTCCTATGGCGGCCAAGGGCGAGTAGCAGATTATCAAGCCTGTCACGTAGCAGCCATTCCTGCAAAATACGTAAGTTTGCAATTTAATTTTTTAATTTTTTGTTACTCTCATAACTGATTCAGTTCCTGTGTTGCGCAATGGAAAAACACTTATAAAGCTTACTTTACACACTACTGCCGTATTAGTGCTATACTTTTACTATAGTGTCGATTAGTCGTTAATGAGGAGCACGAGTTAGCACTGTGGTTAAGTTCTGAATGTCAGAGTTAATAAACAAGATTTGAATCTGTGTGATATACAAAATATTCTCTACGCTTCGAGCTGTGAGCTCGTTATAAAAGTGGTAGTCAATCACTTAGTATGCTGTTGACTAGCTGCCATCCCTCTAGTCGGCAGTTTCAAGATAGAGACCGCGGCAGATAACCCTAGTAGCTTTGCCATTAATACAAAATACAATACAATTAATTCTTTATTGATATTTTCAGAAACACTTATACAATCTGGCAAGCTGTGATACTTATTATCTTTTTTGTGGCTTTCTTCAACGAAACGTATAGAAAGTTGTATCCAAAAACTAAGTCTGATTTAAACTTTCATTGCTTCTTTAATTTGATGATTATAATTTTTTAATGATGAACAACAGAACGACGGCAGCAACGACGAACATTGGAACATTTAATTTTTGAGCGTTTCGGAATATACATATTCCATCTTCAGTAAGCTATATTGAACAGAATAAATTATTAGGTACAAAAATGTTATAAATTTAAACATTTTATAAAAAGTTATTAAAATGCAAAATAAAAGGATGAAGTACATTAAAAGATAAACAAATAACCAAAGAATGGGATAAGAAACGATATTATACAAGTGTTCAGAACAGACTTAATTGTAGTGAAGTTGTGTTATTATTTAAAGTTGGTAGTTCATTTATAATAGATAAATTTTCTTTAATTAAAAGTTCAATATTGGATGATCCAGAGGAGATGACTTTGAAGTTTGTAGTCCAGACGGGGTGGTTAGTGTTTTCACTATGTGTGTGGATTGTGGAGTCTGGTGGATTTAATAGTTTTTTACCAGTTCTGCTTGATACTGCCAAATGTTCATTGCACTTATAAAAAGCATTTATAAAATTCAGCTTCGACTATTTTCTCATTCATAATGTTGTGATAACTTCCAATTTCTTCAATACCCGATGGAAAAGCGATAAGTCTATGGACTTTCAACGTTAAAATCGGGGGTTCGATTCCCGTGGTGGACACAACAGATAGCCCAATGTAGCCTTCTTTGTGTCCATTAAATCGATCACTGAGAGAACTAGTGTAAAGTTTATTTACGCATTATTGTTGGCTTCTTCCCCCTCCCTCAATAAAACTATTATTTTGACTACTATAATGTAAAAAGTAGACGTAGTTAGCTATTTTGATGAGATGTTTAGATATTGATCCATGTCACTGCTCATCTTTGTAAGAAATTTACGATTTTTTTTTACTAGGTCATGATGTCAAACGGCGTTTCTGAGAACGAGAAAATGAACGTTATTGGACTGTTAGTGACTGCTGGTCACATATTTGGACCTCAGTCCTCGTCGTTTCGTTTGTTTGGATTGTATCAATATACACCAGACTTGATGTTTTCAGATACTACGACCAGTCTTAAAGCTATACCCAGCCAAGCTAGTTATCGTGACGTTTTGGGAGAGGAGTTTATTCACATGATAGAAATGGTTGATCACAAATTCTGTGAATACTCGCCAGGAATCGCCTCAAAAAGAACACTTAGTTTCGCTCTTGGAATGTTGTGTTTTTTAATACTGAAGTTAAAACTGTAGCGCCGTATATCACATATGAATATTTCATTTGATTTTTGAAGATAAGTATTGTATATTTAGACAAGTAATAAAAATATTTTGCAAAAACTAAGTATGATGTAAGGATGGAAATGCCGAAAAGTACAGAAACAAGGACGAGGTGAATACACATAACAATACAAAAATCACTATATAAGTAGCCAAATCTTTCCAAGAATAACTTTTATCTACAACTAAATGTTGAATTCCCGTCACTTGCATGTATTCAGGTCTGATTAAAAGTATTTAAACGGAATAGTGCTATACATTCTATTACGTATTACAATTTCAAATAGACTGAAATTGAGTTCAATGATACTTTAAATTTAGTAATTAAATTGTACTTTGGCTTTAGCAGTTAAGTAAGAGCCAATATATATAGTCAGTTTATGACATTTGCGAACAAGATTAATACAAACAGTTTTCTTTTTTAACGTAAATATATTTTAATATACAAACAACAATACAATTTACAATAATAGTTATTACAAATAGTTATTACATACAATGATTTATATACAAAAGTTTTACAAACTTACAAGCAATATAAAGTCTTCTTTCTAGTCTGGAACTTTCTTGATATCTTATCGAGGATTCACGATGAGCGAGTTAATTACGAGTTGATGTAGGTAAGATTTGCTTCGAGGAGCTAGCTTGCTTTTTCCTTCGTTATTCACCAGCCACACACGCTGATTACAGGTTGAGTTTTTTACCGCTGAAGTTATATAATATCTTCGTAACGATACAAACATCCGATATGAATCTACTGAAATTAAGTGGTTTGTAATGTTCGAAATTTATAGACATTCCTGATCAAATATCTGAAGTGTCCCGATTAATAAGCATTATAACAATCACAGTTATAGCTTCCAAAATATATAGCACACCAACTATAACAAACCAATAATAGATATTACTTTTGGTGTGTCGAGTTGGTTATATTTATACGCGTGTGGAGAGTTTCTTGAAATTTCAGTTTTACGTAACCATACTGACATTAACACAAGCGCTTACGTACACACATATATTGTTGATTCTTACTCTCGAGAATCTTCTACAACTTTGTAGAACAGGTGGGAGTTTCGCGATACATATTTAATACTATAAGCTATCTATGTTTCTAAGTATAGATTTAATCTAAACAAACGTCGATATTAAAATGAATATATAATAACAAATCCGTCACAATTCTTACAATGGCTAATAACCATAAACTTGTAAGTCAGACTCAGTACTTAATGGCTACTTATGTAGGGATTTTTGTATGGTTTTATGTATTCACCTTACCTTTTTTCTGTCCTTTTTGGCATTGTCATCCCTACATCATATTTAATTTTTGCAAAATTATTTCATTACTTGTTTTCCCTCTTTTTTTAAACAATTGAAGTAGGTTGATAAGTGAATATTTATGTTATTTTTATATTTCAATAGTAATATATATATTGTTAACATATCAGTTTTGTCAGTTTCTGTAATTTGATATTACAATGGGAGCCAGCGAAGTTGGAATAGTTTCTCTAGAATGGTACAAATACCCCAAAGTACTGGATCGACATTAAGGGGATATTTACAGACTCCACGCCTTCTAACTCCACCAAAACTCACTGCATGTATATACAATCGACTCAATTATTAGGCATGACATCATACAGATCCCAGGCCATGAAGTATAATACCATGCATACATACACAGCTTCCAGGTTTGGCCCCACTGAAAAGTTAAAGAAAAGTAGATTGCTATATAATGATTGTTTTGATAATTAAGAAACTGGAGTTTTTAAATAAAGACGTCAATAATATATATACATAGATGTTTCACTTGCATAAATATTTGATCTCTTTGATTATCCTTTCTTTCTTTTTACTGTAATTGTTTTAGCAGATATCATGTTTGTGCAATGAAAAGTCACAAACAGTTATTATATAGAACCATTTGTGCTGCCATGTAGCGATCAAAAATGAAACGATTATTTATGAAACTTGGAAATAAGATATGGTTATAAACTGAACTCACTCATAAGTACTAGTTTTCCTTTTTCTATAATTTTCTCACGTGTGGTAAGAGAACAGAGTAATATTACTGTTATACAAGCTGTGAAACACTCAATAATGGCAATTAGGTGCTCAAATAAGGCTACAACTTAACTTGAGCAGTTATTTGTAAGCATCATAGAGTAAATGATTGAATGTGGTGTCAATTTCGTCAGAGTCATCCGTACACACTAAGTACCATGCTTAGTTATAGTCTGTTCCCAAGTGCTCTTAAATGCTTTTTGTCATACTAAAAACCATTTTGAAAACTTCACTCATTTTTTGGTTAACGTGGGAAAAGAAAAAAGAAAGATGAACACTTTGGCTCTTTAGCTAGTTTCCAGTTCTCCACTTTAGGAACACTTTTCAATGATATTGGGAATCTCACAAGCTGTGAAACACTCGATGATGGCAATTATGTGCTCAAATAAGGATATAACCCTTCCTTAGCAGTTATTTGTAAGCATCAGAGAGTAATAGATTGATTGTGGCAGCCATTGTTTTCTCGGCTCATCCCTATGTAATAAGTACGACCATGTTTATGGATAATGGGATAAACAAGAGTCAAGAATTAGTGAAATAATAGAAATTTGGGACAAAAAAGTAATAGTTGGTATACGGTATTAAGACTGAGAGCTTAAAAATAAAATCAACTGAAAATTATTGTTCTCTAAAAAGCAGATATTCTACTCACACAGTTTCAATAGTACTTTCTCTGAACTAGAAACTTTTAATATATTACTTAAAAAGTAATAATATAAAATACTTGCGTACCTGTTCCTACAAATCTAAATTAATACATTAAAAGCTGAGCAGTTTAAAGAAATATATCGTGATCACTTTTACCCCTTGATGACCAATTTTAGGCTTTCTCTTCATCACTGATGTTGAGAGCTTGTTTATATTGATAAACAAATATTTATCTTTGAGAATAGCCACAACTAGGACTGTAACTATGTTTTTAAATTTATAGAGACTTTAAATGACTACAAAGAGGTTATGTGGTCACTCAAATTGACAATGCCCGTAATGTGTTCTTCTTTGTCTATTCATTTAGTTATTGTTTTTGTTTTGTATTTAGTCGTTCTAAATCCTAAGCTATTGGTTCCATCGTGTATAAAAGTCCGATGCTAACATTCAATATGTTAACAAAATCAAGAACAAATCTATTTTTCTGTTGATAAATACTGTTGACTTGGTGATGAGTTGCATATCATCAGTTTTGCATGACCCTGTTTTCAGTTTTAAAAATCGATAGACAGTACTGAAATCTTCAAATCTCTTTAATTTCAAGAATAAGCCCTTTCACCCAATCGTGTAGTGTTGGCAGTAGGGTGTATATAACTTGAAATTCAGTCTAAACTTGGCTCTAACAAAGTTTTGTATTCTTTCTGTTCTTTTGTAAGTGTGTCTGAGAAGGATTATTTGTTAATACATTCAAAATAACAAATAACTGGAGTTAAATGTAAAACAGTATATTGCCTATTAAACAAATAATAATAAATAAAAGCATACCTGAAAACCAGATGTTTCTGTTGGTATTTGTAGTAATAATACATTATGCTGTAATGGTTGTTAGCAGTCAAGTGTTAAAGACTGTAATTACACGAACTTCTTTCCCTATAAATGATTTGGCGTCAGATTCTCGTCAGGTTAATAACCAAAAGTATTCTTCAATCAAAAAATTCACACTTCTCGTCAGAATAGCGTGATATCAAACTACTTTCAAAAACAAAACACGTGTTTACAAATCCAACATCATTTTGATAAAATAATTCATCTGTAGACCTTGGCATGAATGAACACCTTTCATTGGTTGTTTTCATGCATAGCAAACAATGCCAAAGACAAGGCTAGAGAAGAGTTTAGAATAATGATAGTAAAACCAATGGGGCTCTCTCTTGAGTTATTTTCATTTTTACCATTAACTGAACACTTAATGTTAGCTGGGTTTTGACAGTCATTCTTTTCAAACAATAAATTAGGATCAAGTTAATGCTGACCAATTATTTTACTGTAGATCACACTCGATACTCTAGTCCTTAGCTAGATTAACGCACAAGCTCTCTAAAAAATGTTTGAAAACTTCCATTACGTGTTCGTAAACCTGATATAATTATCAAAGAATGCAAGCATTTTAAACTTTGGCATCAAATGTATCTTTTATTCATTCTCTTTTTATGCATGGCGGATGACGCCAACAAGTGAGATAATATTAGTTGCAATACTGTTTCTTTTCTTTTTTTGTTAACCGTCTCCAGACGTAAAAGGCCATGTCATCTCGTTTGTTAACTCGCATTCAAAAGTTTATTGAACTACTATTTCATGAATTTATGTCAATAACTTTGGTATCAAACTGTATATTATAATTCAACTTTTAGTATTATAAATTACTCAATTTGTTAATATAAAAAGTAAATATTAAAAAACAGATAAACATCGATTCTTGTGTGTCCCGTGGTATGTTGAATGCAATGCTGGTTCAAATTAGATGTTTGTGAAGTCGAAATACTAAATCTGTAGTTTCGTACGAATTAGAAACTGAAATTACCGATATTGAGAAGCTAGAATATAAAATAAGAAGGTTTTATCCTTTCTATTTGCTAAGATATTGTTCATGTAATAAATCAAACACAGTGGCACCTCATTGCTAAATTATGGACGGTTAGCGCAGATTGCCCTCGTGTAGCTTTGCGCGAAATTCATAACAAACAAACATATCCTCAACGTGCAAAATTTTTAAAGGGTTAGCAACCTATGTCAAACAGCAACCGAGTTACAAAGGTCGTAACTAGAAGAGATAATTGTTTACATTACTACTATATTTACTGTTCTAAGAAAAATAAGTTTAAGAACTTATTTCAAAATAGCAATAATCTGTATACATATATAATGTATAATAAGTGTTAAACGTGATGTACGTTTTTAGGGGGTGGTTAATGAAAGTGTTCCAAAATGCGACATTAATTTCTTGATGACCTAATAGAATGACTTCAAATTGTAACATGAAACTACATTCGTTTATCCTAAGTAGCTCT